TAAAGATAGCAAAGCTACAGTTGTAGGCTTCGTAATATCTGATAGCAAAAGCGGGAAGTATCACGTTTCTTTATTTACTCATGAATATCTAGAAATGACGATCTAGAAATACTTTTATGGAATATTTTTTAAGCTTGGCCACCACAACTTGCATAAATATAACTACATGTACTACAACCTTAGTCTGTAACCATTTCTTCTGTCCCATTATTTCTCTGGAGAATGCCTATAAATCCAATATAAAGTTCTTCAGATCAAACAAAATCACATTGCAAGCATAATGTTTTTCTAACTTCTATATATAAAAAAAATACAGGGAGCCCCTTGTTCTTTGCCATTAATAAATCTAACTCTCGATCATATAAATTATGCCATGACCATCAAAAGTTGTCCACAAATGGCAAAGAGCTCCCATTATTCTTTGACGGTTGCTTTCACAATGCCAAAAAACATTCACTGAAAACAAGATTTGTTTAGTAAAAAAAAAAACTTCAAAAGTCTTTATTATAAGATTTTTGGACAAAACTGTTTGCCACAGCAGTACTTACCCTATGGCAAGAAACCTCTGACTGGATTTCTTTTTTCAGGATCTGAAGAAAAGCGACTGTGTAAAACATTTTCAAGGGAGCGCCGGACAAAGAAAATGGGCAAAGCGATATCAGGTTTAAAAATGACAAAAGAAACTCAGTCTACCGGTTATCGTTTGCTTAGAAGTGACCCAGTCTTGACTGATGAGTTAGAAGAACCACCGGAATCAATCCAAGAAGAATTATCAACCGACGACAAAGCAGCTGCCACCGACAAATCTCCTTTGTGGAAAGCAGTAGTCAACTTAATGAGTGACATTGAGGGAACAGGCCTACTCGCACTACCATATGTCATCGCTCAGAGTGGACTAGTGGCCATAGCAGCAATGGCAACCTTGCCATTTATCGCTTTCTACACTGGAGCAATCTTGATTGACTGCCTTTACGAAGAAAACGATGCTGGAGAAAGAGTTCGTGTCGGATCCAACTATAAACAACTGGGTGAAGCTTGCTCCCCTCGTTTTGGCGGTACCATAGTTTCCGCTATCCAGTTAGTAGAACTTTTTCTCCTGGCATCTTTGTACCTTGTATTGTTTGCCTCGCTTTCGAAAGGTATCTTTCCAGATTTGCCGCTGTCCGACAAAGTATGGATGCTTCTCGCAGCTGCGGTGAGTCTTCCAACTTTATTTGTGAAGAATCTATCGCAGGTTGCATGGATGAGTTTATTGAGTGTGATAGCTTTAATGGTAGCTGTAGTTTCTGTTTTAGCCTACGGAATAGCTCATGAATACTCATGGGCCCCTAAGAGAAATCTTGGTGTGGAATATAGATGA